AGTGTTGACTTTCCTATTAGAACAGTATGCTACATAAATAATGTAGTATAGCCTTCTTGCTCATTGTTGTAGCACTAGTTCATTGATTGATGAATTAATGAATAAATAAATAAATGAAGAGGGATACAAGTTGCTAACTCAGCAATTTATGAAGGAGCTAGACTACAAAAACAATGGTTCAGCCAGGCGCAGTGGCTCAAGCCTGTCATCCCAGCACTCTGGGAGGCCAAGGCGAGAGGATTGCCTGAGCTCAGGGGTTTGAGACCAGCTCGGGCAACTTGGTGCGACCTCATCTCTACAATAAATCAAAAAATAAGCCGGATGTGGTAGTGCACGCCTGTAAGTCCAGCTACTTGGAAGGCTGAGGCAGAAGGATTGCCGAGCCCAGCAGGTCGAGATTGTGGTGGCAGTGAGCATGCCACTGCACTCCAGCCTGGGCAACAGTATGAGACTCCGACTCAAAAAAACAAAAAACAACCCCCCCCCAATGGTTCCATTAGCATATGAGGCCTGGGAAAATATCAATTCTTATGGCTAAATACCAGTGCTTATGTACTGACACAAACTCTTAGATCTAGAAATAGGGGACAAGTGCTTGGGGATCACGTGCCCTGTACTCTTTTGCTTAGTGGGTCTATCATGCCTAAACTCAAATTGAAGCCTTTCCATATACTGGGTCAGGAAAGAACAGCTAAAGAGTGCCTTGTATAACCAGTGGCAACTTGATGCCCAACATTTGCCATTTCCACTGCCACAGTCCTAGAGCATCTATAGTTTCAAGATCACCCAGCGAAAAGCAGCTTAAATGTATACAACACTGAGAGCAACTGTAAGCAACTGAACTGCTTCTGAAACAAGTCATTCTTCAAGAACATAAGTTCAAGACAAGTAAGACTTTCCCCAGTCTCCTCCCATTAGGTTTTCTTGATCTTCCTTCCTGCCTAAGCCAGTCTCCATTCCCTAGACCATTACTAGTTGGAAAGGGAGTTAAGATGAACCATGGCAGTGTCTACACTGACTAGTAAGTCATGTCTACTGATTTGGCTGTTCAAAGAAAGTCAAGATGTTTGGTTAAATATATTCCTAGGTATTTTAATTTTTGGCAGCTATTATAAATGAATTTGAATTCTTGATTTGATTCTCAGCTTGGTCACTATTGGTGTATAGTAGTGCTAATGATTTGTGTGTGTTAATTTTGTATCCTAAGACTTTACTGATTCATTTATCAAGCTCAGAAGTCTTTTGGTGGAAGCTTTAGGGTTTTCTAGGCATAAGCTTACAGAGATAGTTTGATTTCTTCTTTTCCAAATTGGATACCCTTTATTTCTTTCTCTTGCCTGATTGCTCTGGCTACATTCCAGTACTATTGAAAATGGGCATCCTTTTATTCTCTGATACAAATTTTGTTGTGGCATCACTCAAGGCTTTCAGCATTGAAGTTGCCTCAGCATAAAACAAAGACATTTTATTTGCCAACTCATTATTTATTTAATTTTCTCCTTCTGTTGGTACATTAATTTTCATATGACTCAGTGCTCTTCTATAATAACTGCAGTCATTCTGTATGGCAAGATTTGTCATCTTGAGTTCATCAGAATGGAGTGTGAAATAAATAATTTCTGCAAAAAAAAAACAAAAAACAAAAAAGAAAATGGGCATCCTCGACTTGTTCCATTTCTGGGGGAGAATGTGTTAAACTTTTCTCCATTCAGGATTATATTGGTTGCGAGTTTGTCATAAATGGAATTTATTATTTTGAGGAATTACCCTTCTATGCCTATTTTGCTGAGAATTTTTATCATGAAAGGATGCTGGTTTTATCAAATGCTTTTTCTGTGTCTATTGAAATGACCATATAATTTGTGTTTTTAATTGTTTATGTAGTTATCATATTTATTGACTTGTGTATGATAAACTATCCTTGCATCCCTGGGACAAAACCCACTTGATTGTGGTGGATTTTTTTCTTTTTTAAAAAATGTACTATCGGACTCAGTTTACTAATATTTTGTTGAAGATTTTTGCATCCACGTTCATCAGGGATATCGGTCTATAGTTTTCTTTTGTTGTTGTGTCTTTTCATGGTTTTGGAATTAGGGTGTTACCAGCTTTGTAGAACGAGTTAGGGAGAATTCCCTCTTTTCAACATTACAGAAGCGCTTCAGTAAAATTGGTACCAGTTCTTCTTTGAAAATCTAGTAGAATTCAGTTGTGAGTACAAAAGGTCTGGATATTTTTTCATTGGGAGATTTTTAATTACTGTTTCAATCTTGCTATTTGTTATTGGTGTGTTTGGAGTTTCTATTTCTTCCTGATTCAAGGTTGGGGAATTGTATGTTTCCTAAAATCCATTCATGTTTTCTAGATTGTCTAGTTTGTTTGCACAGAAGTGTTCATAATAATCCTGGATGGTTTTTTTTTTAATTTCAGTGCTATCAGTTGTAATGTTTCCACTTTCACCTCTGATTTAGCTAATTTGAATTTCTCTCCTCTTTTCTTAATTAATCTAGCTAGTGACCTATCAATTTCATTTATCCTTTCAAATAACCAATTTTTTGTTTTGCTATCCTTTTTTTCCCCAATTACGCTTAGTTCTGCTCTGATCTTTGTTATTTCTTTCCTTCAGTTAGCTTTGGGTTTGGCTTATTCCTATTTTTCTAGTTCCTTGAGGTATGATGTTAGGCTGTCAGGAGATGATCTTACAGTCATTTTAAAGTTGGCAAGTGCCATACATTTCCTCCTGAGAATAGCTGTTGCTGTGTCCCAGTGGTTATGATAACTTGTGTTGTTGTCATTCATTTCCAGGAATTCTATCTTGACTTCATTGTCAACTCAAAGATCATTAAGGAGCAGACTATTTAATTTCCATGTATTTGCTTTGACTTTAAAAGTTCTTCTTGGAGCTGATTTCTAGTTTTATTCTACTGTGGTCTAAGAAGGTGCTTGATATGATTTTGATTTTTCTCAATTTACAGAGACTTGATTTGTGGCTGATCATATGGTCTATCTTGGAGAATATTCCATGTGCAGATGAGAAAAATGTATTTTCTGTAGTTTTGGGGAAGAATGTTCTGTCGATGTATTAGGTCTATCTTCTCTAGGGCCGAGTTTAACTCCCACGTTTCTTTGTTGACTTTCTTTCTTCCCTTTATGAGCTGTCTATCGTTGTCAGTGAAGTGTCGGAATCTCTCACTGTTTCTGTATTGCTGTCTATCTTTGTTCTTAGGTCTAGTAGAATTTGTTTTATAAAACTGGGAGTTCTGGTGTTACAGATGTCACTGGTACTTTATGTATTCCAGATCTAGGCTAAGGAAGAGGAATTTGTGAAAGACTCCTGGGAATACATGTATAAATAGAATAACACATAGTCAAAAAGGCAAAAACTGGACCTGTGTTTTCATTTGTCTTTTGCCTACGCATTTTCCTATAAGTGAGAGAGCAGTGATGTGGGTATACGGAGCATGATGATTTGTGTTATGGACCAGGCAGGGCATGAGAAAGGATAGTATGTCAAAGCCAGGGTTAACCCCAGGTCCAATGGTGCTACGTGGGGCTATACTTGTTTGATTTTTTAAAATTGCCTTTTCTAGAAATTACATAAAAGACCATTCTTTAATAGAATGAGGAAGGGAAGTAGGGACTTTATGACTAAAGAAATGTTAGAAAATATTTTTAAAATTATCTTCATTAATCTTCCTGTTATAGCCCGATAAATAAAACTATGGCAATTAGGAGGTATCCACCATTTTCAGCAGTGGGATTTCATTTTCAGATTTGATGATAAAGTGAAGTTTTTCTGAACTAGATGTCCTGCCTCTTCTTAGAAATGACTCTCAAAGAATGGTGAGAAATTTATCAAAGCCCATTTTTTCCCCACACAATCTTCTGGTGATCCTTTTCTATAACTAAGTTCAATATTCTGATTATCTCAGCATTATTACTATCTGTCTTTAGTAATAACAGCAAGGTAGCTAAGGCATAACAAACACGAGTAGTAGATTTAGAAAAATATAGAAGACTGAATCCCAGCTGCACCACCCAATCTTTGAATGACTTTAGGCAAATCACTAATCTCTCTAAACTGCATTTTCAACTGGGGCATAGTACCACAAATGGGATGAAATTTGGTGGGAGAAGGGGAGTCTTATTCTTTTTTTGAAATAAAGCACAGATATACATCAGTACATAAACAGTTGTACTGTGTATCTGTGGCATTATAATTTCATGGGAGTTAGATAGCGGGAAAAAATCTCTAAAAAGTCTCCTCAGGGAGGCAATAATGAACAAAAGGTTGAGCACACTTTTCTAAGCCTTCATTTCCTCAACTGTATGCAAATGTGTCAACACCACCCACCTTAAAGGATCATTACGATATAACTACAGTCAGTCCCCAATAGCCTTGGATTCTGCATCCATGGATTCAAAAATAGCAGATCAAAAATATTGGGGGGAAAAAAAATCCACACAGCTTCCAAAAGCAAAACTTGAATTTGCCACACATATAATACTACATTAAATCCATGCAAATAAAGTGATACGCAAGCATTGTATTCTATATTATAAGTAATCTAGAGATGATTTAAAGTATATGGGAGGATATACAGAACTTACACGCAAATACTACACCATCTTATATAAGGGACTTGAGCATTTGCAGATTTAGTATTCATGGGGATCCTGGAACCAGACCTTCATAAATACTGAGGAGTAACTGAATGTCTAAGTATATACAGACAGAATGAGAGTGAAAATAAAGGAGGCAGGGAAAAGAATAAAAATTGTGTGTCACTAATATACAACTAAAAACACAAAGATTCAAACATATATATAGATTAATATTTAATAATCAATGAAATGATCATTAATGGTCAATAATACAGTTTTCTTCTCACTGGTCATTTTACCACTAAACACCACCAACCACAGAAAAAATATAAAGTCATTGTAAAAGTCAAATAATAAATATTAGAAGAGTCTATAAATGTGGCAAAAATACAAACCTAAAACGCCAATTTCAAGACCAGTCAAGCCTGTTTTAATTTTCTCATAAATATCTTCTGATGTAAAGTCAACAGCAATGGTTCTTGTCTCCACTTTGAATTTTTCTTCTAAGGGAAAACACAAATGGGAGAGACAGGAATAATTAATACATAGTAATTAGGATCGAAGCATTTGATAACATTATCCTTTCAAACTCTTCCCTCCCCGCTATTTTGGTATGAAATTTAGACAAGAATGATTTTAAGCAATCACGAGACCATCTCAGAGATGACACAGAGTCAACATAATAGTTCTGCAATAAAAATTCCAATGTCATTACAGGGAGCTGGCTGAGTGTTCCTTAATCACTTCTTTTGCAAATCAATAATAACTACTTTTCAGACCCTTAGGTACAATAAAACATGATTCATATAACTATGTTACATTATCTTTAAATAACACAGGCTTTGTGGCTTTAGTTATAAAGTGATGCTTTGTAATCTCAGGAAGAAGTCTTTATGTTATAAAGTATTTTAAAGTGCAATATATTAAAACAAAAAGTCTACCTTATTAAGATAGAAATAAAATGATTGTGATCTTATTGTAATTTGGGAGTTTGCTTAATAGTTAATATGTTTTAAAATCCACACAGAATGCACAGTAATAAAGTGACACAAGAAAGACCTTAGTGCTCCACTTCGTACAGGACGATTAAGGTCCCAAGAGTGCAGACGAAAACAATAACTTCAGAAATGAGACCCTGGAGCAACCAAACTCATCTGAAGTAATGTATAAAGTTTATTTCTGCCTTCCCTAGTCGGCCTCTTTGAAGGGATAGCATGGCTTTGAGGTCATATAGATGTGGGTACCGATTTTATCTCCATACTTATTTGCGAAATGACTTTGAGCAAGTCACACATCCTCTTTGAGCCTCAGCATCCCCTCGTGAAAATGAAGGTACTTCTATCCAACTTATGACGTGAGGCTCACAAGATACCTGCTGGCACACAGAGAACACTCCATAAATGCTGGTCTCTCCTTTTTCTCCTCAACCATCTCCACTCTCAATTTACTTAATGAAGTCCAGTAGCCTAGGAATGCTTATTCCTTAGAACTTACTGAAAACTCAAAAGAATCTGAAAATCCTGCTTCCAAAAATAAATCTTTCCTCAGTCGAAGTCAATGTCAGCTCATCACAGAGCTTGCAGGATTAATCCTCATAGGAAGTATCCATTCTTGATCTAAAAGGATTTCTGTCTAAAACTAAAGAGCTGGTTCATGAGAGATTTGATTCTTAGTTAGACTCAATGAAAAGTATTGACCCTAGGTGGAAATCCATGAATAAACTGGAGAGAAGAATTGACCTAGAAAATACCTTATTTGGTGTTAAAGGTGTACTTACTGTTCCAATATAAATGATTTATACATGCATTCAGGCACTGGAGAGTCAGTGATTTCACAGTAGTTGGTCCAACATGTCCACTATAAACAGTTCACAGAATTTACCACTAGTAAGTAAAGAATGCTGACTTTATTACGGCCACAGATTCACAAGGAAAAAAGCCCCAAAACAAAAGGCTAAAGGATACCTTTTATTAAATGAAAAACTTTATTCAAGAATAACACAAGATAAATTGACCTATTTATTTTGAAAAGTGAAGTATTTTTCCACACTAGCACTATGTTCTGACATTTAGAAAAATTTCTCTCTAATAATAAAAGCCACCTCACAATCCCTGAACCAAATTCACTCCTTTATATCCCACAGGATTTGGTGAATGTACTGGCATTGTAGAGTCTTGTATAGGCACTCTGCTAAAAAGATTCAGTGACACTTTTGGAAAGAATGTGATTTAATAATAAACCCCCAAGTAAGCTCTTTCTCTCTCTTTCTTTGTATTCACATTAGGATAAGCAAAATGGCTTCTGGTGCAAATTTTTCTAGCTAGTTAAAAATTTTGAACTTCTACCTGAATTACCCAGCATCATGTTCTAATCCAGTTAACACCTCTTAAAACAGAGTAAAACAAAAATAAAAACAAGAACAACTTTTCTCCACTATCTCTGTTGTGAATCTTTTTTTTAGGAGACCGGATCTCACAATGTTGCCCAGGCTGGTCTCGAACTCCTGTCCTCAAGCAATCTCCCACCACACTCAGCCTCTCCCGTTGCTATAGGCATACAGACTATAGGCATGCACTGCTGCAGCTTTTTCTTTTTTAACACAGGTCAGACCATGGTCACCCGTCTCCTTGTAAACCTCCAGTGATTTCCTTCTCATTCAGAGTAAGAGCCAAAAGTCTTTGGTATCAGCCTCATACTTCTCTGAGCTCATCCCCAACTACGCTATCCGTTGCTCCTTGGTTCAAACCACAATGGCCTCTAGCAGTTCTTTAAACACAGCATGTAGTGTGCAAATACACAAACAACTGGATTTGGAGGTTGGAAGGGCTTTTGTACTGTTTCCTCTGTTGGGAATGTGCTTCCATATGTATCCCTTGTCTCTGCTCTTTCAAAGAAGCCTGCCTTGCCCATCCTTCAATAAATGCAATCACCCCTCCCCCAGCACTCCTCATCCCCTTCCCTGCTTTATTTTATTCCATTGCACTATCTTCTAATATATCATCCAGTTGGAATTAAGCTTCAAGAAGACAAGACTTGGCTCTGTTTGTTCAGTTCAACAATGTCATGAATGATCTGGGACCTTTCCGCCCTCCTCACCTAGTTTCAAGAGGCCCACTTCTGTTCCATGCTTCACATGCAGACAACAACGTGCAGAGGCAGAAATGGCACGCCTCTGTGATATGTCCTTTTCAGAGTGAGAAAACTTCCTCCAGATGCCCCTTACATTTCCTTTCTGAGAATTATGGTCCATGCATGCTTTTGACCCATGCATGGACCCATAGATGGGCTTTGAGCATTCCATGAATCGCCTCCACCGTCACCATCAAGTTGTGTGACTATAGAACAGCAATGCATATATAAAAATGGGACAGGAATTAGGCTAGGCACAGGGTCTCACGCCCATAATCCCAGCACTTTAGGAAGCTGAGGCAAGAGGACTGCTTGAGCTCAGGTGTTTGAGACCAGCCTAGGCAATGTAGTGAGACTCCTCATCTCCACAAAAAGTCAAAAAATTAGCTGGGTATGGTGGCACATGCTTGTAGTCCCAGCTACTCGGGAGGCTTAGGCAGAAGGATCACCTGAGCCCAGGAGGTTGACGCTGTGGTGAGCCACGATGCCATAATTGTGCCACTGCACTCTAGCCTATGGGTCAGAGTGAGACCCTGCCCTACAAAAGGACAGGACCTGCCTCTCTGGGCCCAGGCAATCAGATGAGAATTGTTAAGGGTGTTCTAAGACACTGAGGTTGGAGGCCGGCTTCCTTAGGAACTGGGAAAGTAAATCTAAGCATCTTACCCCTTCCCACAGCCCATCACCCTGCCATATGACCCTGCTAACAGAAGGCAAGATAAATGGACAAGAGTCTTCTACCTTCAAACGTCAGCACAAGGGTGGATTAAGAACCTAGAAGAGAAGCAGACACCACACATACATACATAATACAACCCTCATTTTCACCTTCACCACCTCCCCAACTCAAGTTTTTTCTTAAGACCACTAGTCTACAGCTCAGCAACAGCCCACTGCTGGGGAAGAATATGCACTTTGCCAAAGCCTTCGGAGTGGTGCTGCTTCTGCGACTCTGAATCTTGCCCCATCACCAAGGTCCAAGGAATGACATAGCCTCTGCTTTGTCTGGAAGTGCTTAACACCTCCAGGTGTTAAAATTAACACCTACAAGTATGTAGTGTGCAAATACACAAACAACTGGATTTGGAGGCTGCAAGGGACACAAGATGAGCCATTCACCTGCCCCTTCAAGGAAAGTCCTGTTGCTCTAATTATGAGAGGGTCATCAGGAGATAGTTTGCAGGTGTCAGCCCGTTGGACGCTGCTTCGTCCAAGCTCATGTTCTTTCTGTGGCATTCCCACCCAATGGCTGATTGAGGTAAGGGATAAAGCCACCGGACAGCCTGTACCTACTTACCAGGTTCGGATTCCAGAATCATAGTCTGTTTATTATCTTATTTTTCTGTTCTTTCATAATGCTCTAGTTTTAGTTATTCTAGCTTTGAGGTGAGTTTTAGTAGTGCAAGTCTCCTTTGCTGTTCTTGTTTTTCAAAAATGCATTACTTACACTCACCTGTTTCATCTCAGTTTTTATTGGAATTGTATTCAACATTTCAATTAAATTTTTGAAGAATGACAATGTGGCCTTCCCTCCGGGCTCTTCATTTATTCAAACGTTTTCTTAAAACGTCTGAAAGTAAAATCTTGTGGTTGCAAATTTGTAAGTAAAGTAGAGAACTAAAGAATTCCACACTTAGAATACTACATACTGTATACAAAGATACTCAGTTCGGCTGATGAGGCCTATTGTCAAATCATTCCATATTTGAAACTGGATAGGCTGGCATTCTGCTATTATAAATCCTGCTATGGCCAAATATACCCATGCTGTCCCCCCATTTTTTTCAGAGGGAAAAATTCTCAGTCGTGGCCCACTGCCTCTCAGCCTAGTGGCTAAGATCAAAAAACCAAGAAGCAAAAAACTAGGATGATTGGAATGAACTGGTGAAGGCAGTCAACTGACTAGATAAAGAGGCAGAAAGCTCAGGCTTAAAAAGTGAGAATGCAGCTAAGAAATAGCTGTGTGGATAATATTCAATCCCTTTTTTCTACTGCTCCACCACTGAAAACCACATAACAATTGTGGAAAATCAGAAAGCAAATGTTATTTGTAATGATGGCCTATAGATTAATGAATGTCCCCATTGGCTGCAAGCCAGTCCGTCACCCCCAGCACGTGGCACCCAATTGTTAGAGTCACAGCACTGTTGCAAGTATCCTGAAGCCTGGAACTAACAGAAAAGGAACTGAACCCACAAGCAGTCTTAAGATGCTGCTGAAACACTTCTCAATACAAAAAGTTCAAGCCAAAAAGGGTCAGAATGTATTCAAAATAGCTCTATGTTTACCATACTTGTACATCTGGCTATCATTCTTTTCTTTTTTTTTTTTTTTTGAGTTGGAGTCTCACTCTGTCACCCAGATTGGAGTGCAG